CTTCCATGCCCTGCGGAAAGCTGGTAAGTCCCGCAAGGCACTGACTTCAGGTGGCCAAGTGTTCCAGAGTGATGGTGCCACTCCTGTGAAGGCTCTGCGTCTGGTTGCTGTTAGACGCAAGGTCTTGACACTGGGAATTTCCAACAGATCTCGGTCCTCAGAACGGAGGGATCTCTGGGGTTGGTAGGGGGTGAGGCGGTCCCTCAGGTACATCGGCCCCAGACCATACAAGGCCTTAAATATTGACAATTTATTCACACTGTCATTACTTGCAGCAATAGCCGATGTAGTGAAGCAACCAAGTTGGGTGTGCGTGTGTTGAATGCTCTCATTAAGGAGGCCAGACTTGGTGGAGGTGGTTGACAGGGGCGGAGCTGCAGGCTATGGAAGGCTGCCCTGCCCCCTGCTGTGCTCTTTGCTTCAGCATGAGCTAGAAGGCAGGTTTCAACCCCCCCTCCCCGCGAAAATTTCAACCCCTCCCGAAATTTTTTCTGGCTACGGCCCTGCTTGCTACCACCCATTTCATAATCGTTCCCTCCTTTTTATTTCTCTCCCAAAACCTCCGATTTACTCTTCCCATGTTTACTTAAGGTTGGATTTTTCTGCTCCAACGAAGGTGGTCCCATACCTAATTCCAGAATGCTGCAGGGATTGTTGCATGTTTACCATCAACTACCGAATGGGACTCTTACAATTTTTGGAAGTTTGCTATAAATATGAGTTTCAAAGGGATTGATTTTCCTGAGAAAGCTGGTCTGCCAGGTGTTTTGGATTTCAAACATGATGTTTTGGTGCTTAATTGATAAAATCAAAGCATAATAGGCTTTTCCTTAATCCCTCCTTATTATCCAACATTTTCGCTTATTCAACGCTTATGCCGGCCCTATGTTGGATAAGTGAGACTCTATTGTATTTGAAAGAGAGGGGCATAGAGTTTAATTGCTGCTATATGCCTCTCCCAGTGCACAAAAAACCCCGAGCCCCAATCATTCACAAGCACAGAACATAGAAGGCATTGTATTACAAGTCGAATGACTGAGGCCAGGGGCTGTCTGTGTGCTGGTAGAGGCAGCGTAGAAAGAGAGCTTAGCCTTCAGACATGCAAAGGCTAGTCTGCCTGGTTGGGAGGAAAAACTAAGCTAAATTCCACACCATTATAAATATGTATAGCTGTGCCTGCATATCTGAAGCCAGGGAAGTTTGTTCTTTTTTGATGATCCACTCTCCAACTCTCTTTCCAGCCAATATGCTTCCTCCTTCCACCTGCCTCTCTCTCACACACTCACTCACATAGAGAGATGGTAGTGACTGATCTGGGGTGATTACTCTTTATGGGTTTTCAGGGGGTCCTGGTGCTACGAGGGAGTGTGGTACACTTGGACTTGGCTCCAATTATGGAAGTCTTCCCCCTGTAGTCTGAATTGGTGCCAACCTCACTGTTACTTAGGCACCAAGGCAATGTTACATCTATGTCATATATTTCTAACATAAGCCCTACCTTGAGAACTCTCAGAGATTGTGATGATTTATGATACTGCTCCCACTAGGGAGCTGCTGATTGGGATCCTGCATGTTGAATTAGAAATCCCCATCAGTGATGGAGCCTTACCAAGAGAGTCCACCATCCCATGAATCTCCTCCATGATCTGCATGTGCAAGGCTTTCTGATCAGGATTCAGGAGAGCCCACTCCTCTGGGGAGAAATGGACAGCCACGTCCTCAAAAGCGATTGGGCCCTGGTGGAAAAAGAAAAAAAATCCTTCTCACCTAAGGGAAATCAAGAAATATAATTACAAGAATCTCTTTAAAGTAGATTTACATTCCTGTTGGTTCAAAAAGGGAAATCAAGAAAAATAATTACAAGAAAATAAAACATATTTACATTCCTGTTGGTTGTCTGAAAGGGAAAGAGCTATGGCCTCCATGCCAGAGTGTAAACAGGGTTGGTCACAGCAAAACCATTTCTTAATTGATATGTAGAACTAGAAATGGAATCTGGACATCTTCCAGCTTTCATTGTGCTGCCCAGGACTGGACACAATGTGATTCCAGGTGAGGTCTCACCAAAGCAGAAAAAATAATTCCCTTCATATAGACATGACATTCCTTTGGATGCAGCCCAAAATCCCATAGGTTTTTAAGCTGCTGCATCACACTGTTGGCTCGTGTCCAACTTGTGGGTTACTAACACTTCAAGATGCCTTTCACATGAACTGTTGACTAGCCCGGTGCCCCTCATCCTGTATCTGTGTGTTGCATATTTCCTGCCTTCGTGTACTATCCCACATTTCTCCTTGTTGAAAGTAATTTAACTGTTTTTCACCCAGCTCTCTAACATGTTGAGACTATTTTGAATTCTGATCCTGTCTTCTGGAGTATTAGCTTTCCCTCCTAATTTGGTGTCATCT